CGTAGTAGGGCTGGGCAATAAATCGAAAATGTATCGTTATTGAAATTTCTGACTCTTATCTGGATCATTTTTCCCATGTCAATAAATTTGATAATAAAAAATGAAAAGGTGTGTGTAGGTTAGAAACGTTCATGTCCCTTTAAGAAGCTGCACCACCTTTAGTCACGTAAAAATATGACTCAACATATGACAGCCCCATCTAGTGGACAATGTTTGTTTCTGCGCGTACCTGTGGTTAGCGTCCACTTATCCTTATCGAGGTGAAATCCTCAATATATCGTGATATTGATTTTAGGCCGTACCACCCAGCCCTAGTACGTAGTTAAAACTTTCTAAAGTAACTTAAAACATGTTTAAATGTGACTCTGGCCCTCTTCTAGGATAGAAAGTAGGTAATTCATGGTTTATATTTCCTCTAAGCCCCTCCCCTAAACCCTACAGCAAAATAAACCATTTACGCCAGCGTAGAGTGTTGACCAGTAGAGCTGCGTGTCCACTAGAGGGAGCTGTCAATCAACGAGAATGCATCCCAATTCCCAGCATACACTGCAGTATGACATAGATGTGTACGTTAGCTTAGCACACCACCCTAGCTTGAATGCTAACTGGACCTGCATTAAATTATTGTCGGTCTGTAAACTTCGGGCTAAACTGTGGGAGAGGAGGGAGGGGAACAAAAAGGGATTGATCGTTTGTTTTGTGGAGCTAAGTGATTAACGTAGCATTCAACCTTATGCTGCATCAGATAATTGTTTTAGCCTGTTGTAGCATTAGCATTGCTACCATCATGAGTGCAGGATAACTGCAGGTTTTAGAGGTTTCCCTGCTTGAACACTGCAGATTTGATTAAAATGAGTCATTAGCAGCTCCTACAGAACCCGATGAAGGCTGAGGAGATCATTCAGCAGTTAGGTCCAGGTGTGCTGAGCAGGAATATCTCAAAAACATGCAGCCACAGCAATCCTTTGTTGGCCCTACGGCGCCATTTGTGTGTAGTAATATGCTTCCAGAATGGGAGGACCCATAGCTATTACAATTTCAAAAATGACGTAACGCTACTAAACACAGCTTTAACACAGTCCAGTTCATGTAGTTACAATAAAATTGTGTAAAACAAGGATATCTAAGTGTCATTTCTAATTTATAACCTTTTTAAAGCATGTAGTGAGTGATGTTGTTCTGGTATCCCCACAAGGAAGTTTGGCATGAACACTAGTATCATCTCAAAGTTCTACAGGTGTGCTATTGAGAGCTTGCTGTCAAGCTGCATCACAGTTTGGTATGGAAGCTGCTCTGCCAGCAGCCGTAAATCACTACAGAGGGTGGTGAAAGCAGCAGAGCACATCACTGGCACAAGGCTTCCTGCCATTCGGGACATTTATCTCCAGCGATGCCTCCGGAAAGCACACAGCATCATCAAGAACCACAGCCACCCAGCGCATCAGCTGTTCTCCTCGTTACCATCTGGCAGGCGTTACAGGAGTCTGCCTGCTCGGACTACGAGACTTAAAAACAGTTTCTACCACCAAGCCATACGACACCTCAACCATTTCACTTAAACACACACTTAAACACACACAACACAGGATACAGATGTTACCCTGCAGCTCCACAAGTAAAATTTAATCTGCACTGGTTACTTCATTTTAATGTTACTACTCACTTTTTTTTAGATATATTTATATTTAGTCATCTATACTTACTTATCTATTTAGTAAGCTTTTACTTTTAGCATGACTCTCTAATATTTTGCTTTTACTGTATAGTACCTTCTTTTTTCTATTGTATTATGCTGCTGAGAGACCGCTGCTCGTCAAACACATTTCATTGCAATGTTGACCCTGTGCTAACTTGCATTTGACAAATAAAACTAAACTAAACTAAACCACTGGAAGCCTTTCCACCTCCGTTCAGCGTGACTATCCCAGTGCTTTTCTGCGGATGTGTTCATTATCCAACACTGCAGCGAGAGACATCAAACTGCAGGGATTAACTTCTTGTTTTTTGCCACAGGAGACAACCTTTGACCATCCACACAGACGTCATAAGCAGTATTTATCAAACTGATGCCAAGTCATTGGTTTCCACTGATACTCCATATGACTCATGTCAGCTGTTGGCAACAACTAGTGGAGATTTAAAGACACAAAGCACTTGTTAACGTGGGAGAAGATGGAATCAACCAGGAGCATGTTTACCGTCATTCCTATTTTTAAAAATGGAAAGTTTCCCCATTTGATCAGAAATAGACTTGTAGACTGATACGCTAACAGCTAGTCTGAATGCAACCAAGACCAATTCTTGTTTTTACAATCTTAAAGTGACAATGTGTAGTTTTTATTGTTAATATGTGGAAATATCTATCAAAATTGTTGAAAATCATTGGCGGCTCCGTAACATATAACCATAAAAATCAGGTCTAAAATACATGGGAGTGGGTCTAAGTCTCTGGGCGACGCCATATTAGATGCCATTAGATGTGGGTGACTGTGGCACAGGAGTTAAGCACTTGGGTCTCGCTGGAAGCCAACAAATTGTCGTGACCCGGAAGTTCCTCAAAGACTGGTCTGGTCGGCAACCGCTGCTTTTCCTACTGGCTTCGGTTCCAGAAAAGGTCAAGCTGGACCTCGACATTCCTGATCTAACGGGGACTTCCGCTAAGGGTATGTAGGCCGACAAATGGCGTCGAATGTGTTTATGAATCTCCTAACAAAGCTTAATGTGAAGACACCAGAACTAATCGCTTCTTCGGATTTGCTGGTTCTGAGCAGCATTACACCTCACCCCATTCACCGTCTCATTCACCTTAGTTACACCATACATTTAGTTTAAAGTTAGTCTAGTTTAATTTGTTTTTAATAAATCTTTAAACTTTTAAACTCAACTCTTTCTCTCCTGTTGTCTCTGAGTGAATACGAAGCTGTTATCTAATCCCTGCATTAAAAAGTTCCAATCTTCTGGTTTAAAACAACCTCACAGATCCATAAGGTTGATTTCATATTTACTATGGAATCCTGCGTCTTAAGGCTTAACATGTCATTTAAATCATTACATAACAGATTAGATAGCAGTCATTTTTAGCTGCTACACACAAACACATTTCAAAAGTGAACTAAATATAATTTTATGTCGCTGCTGCAGCTTTTCCATCTACGTTTGGGGCTTCTTAGTGGAGAGATCTGACCCGGTTTACCAGTTTCCACCGTCATGTTGAAGCACGGCTTAGCCTCGGGGGTTAAAGATGTTGGCAAGCTGCCGAGGTAACTGAGATGTTAGGTCTGTCCGACCTCGTTTATTCTGGGGTTGTAAACGCTCTGCAAACAGCTAAAGTGGTTTGTATTTTTAGACCGAGTTTGGAATGAAAAATGGACTTTAAATTCACCCTGACAGGGTAAACCCATCAGCACCTCCCTCTGAACGAGAGGGCAAAGGTCAGCTTCTCTGAAAACTCCACCCACTCTCAGACGAAATGATGAGAGCAAAGGTTCAAGCCGTGGGATTTAAAAGTAATTATTGTGCAGTGGGTTTTATTAGGTTTAATTAATGTTACTCAGTCATGACTGTGCACTAATCACACATCATTTTTTGGAACGTTGCATAACCAGGAATCACTTAAAAGTCAAGAGTGCCGTTATTTGAACTGGTGACTAGTTGTCCTGAATGTTTCACGTCCAGAGATGACTTCTGTTGTGAGTGGTGCTGCATAAATAAATTCAGTTATTCATCAGGTTGTTTGTTGTATTGGCTTAATTTAGCGGTGGTTATAAATGTGTATAACTTTATTTATGATGATAAATTCCATTCACTTTTACATTTTCTGGATATGCAGACAAAAAGACAGAAACATGTTTTTTTTTTTTTTTTTTTACATTATTTTACCTTTAGTCTAATTCTGTTTAAATGCTGTGAAGGTGAAGCGATCCCCTGTCTAAGGTCTCAGCATCCATTATTGGTAAAATAAGGTCTGGGTTGGTTCTAAACACTGAATGAATGAATGAATGAATGACTGAATGAATGAATGAATGAATGAATGAATGAGCAGAGAGAACACACGCCTTACAACAGAAGAGAGAGGGGAGCTCTTAACCCTGATTTTATTTTTCTAAGTATAAAAAAACAGATGTAGCATTATAATTTACTAAATACACGTTGTGAAAATGTCACTATTTAAACCCATTAAGATTTGAATTTAGGTCAGCTGGATCAAACACAGCTAACAATGTTTTTAACAATAATAAAAAAGTTTTTAATCTCACATGTTCATGTTGTAAAAGAGTGGAATTTTATGACATTTTCCCAAAAAACAAACTTTATCCCTTTAACCTCCACACCGAACAAAGTGAACCGGTTTTTCTTTTTCACATTTTAATCCATTTGGTGCAATGAGGGCTATGATAACTCAAATCACTGTCGTCGTCATCTTCCTCCGCTTATCCGGGTCCGGGTCGCGGGGGCAGCATCCCATCTAGGGAGCTCCAGACCGTCCTCTCCCCGGCCACCTCCAGCAGCTCCTCCGGCAGGACCCCAAGGCGTTCCCGGACCAGATTGGAGATGTAACCTCTCCAACGTGTCCTGGGTCGACCCGGGGGCCTCCTGCCGGCAGGACATGCCCGAAACACCTCCCCGGAGAGGCGTCCAGGAGGCATCCTGACCAGATGCCCAAACCACCTCAACTGACTCCTTTCGATCCGGAGGAGCAGCGGTTCTACTCCAAATCATTGTTTGTCGGAATATACATTTAAAACAAGCAGAGAAACTTTGATCATTTGCACCAAAGCCAGTTTTACTGAGTTTTGTTCTTTAATGCTTGAATATTTTAGTTTAAAATAAACCTTTTATTTGTCTAAACAGTTGTAGGCTATGGGGCCCACGTTCAGAGTGGCACCGGCCCACCCCTAGAACCGCCCCTGATGATTTGTATTAAACAATGAAAAAAAATAACTTTACGTTGATATTCTAGTGGGAAAATGCGCCTATAATTCCCAGAATTCCAGGTTTCAGTGAAGAAGAAGCCTTTAGTTCAGCTGTGACGTTTGCTCCGGCGGACGAGGGGAAAGAAAGAGGAGAGCAGCGTAAGAAAATCACCATCAAATCCTCTGGCAACGTGACGTCCCAGCAGCTGGAGCAGCTGGAGGCTCGTGCAGCAGCGCGTGTGAATCACATGGAGTCACTTTGGCGCGAGGCGCGTCTCTGTGTGGATTCTGCACGCGCAGGTTTATAATATTACTAATAAAATAAAAACTAACCGGAGCAGATGGGAGCCCTTCCTCGGCAGCTGCGTTCGGGAGTCTGCGCGTCGCTGCTGCCCTGAACTTTCCTCCTGGTGTCCTCCTGCAGCCTCCAGCCGCCATGAAGACCAGGACGCTGCTGTCGCTCAGCCTCAACTTCTTCGCGCTGTTTTTCGCCATAACCGCGTTCATGACGACTTACTGGTGCGTGGGCACGCAGAGAGTCCCCAAGCCCAAGTGCAGCAAGCTGCGGACGCACCAGTGCATCGATTACGGGGTGAACGAAACGGACCCGAACAAAGTGGTGTACAGCTGGGAGACCGGGGACGACCGGTTCCTGTTCCGGCAGTTCCACACCGGGATCTGGTTTTCCTGCGAGGAGAACATCCACGATGAAAGTAAGACCAGGTGTGTGTGAGTGTGTGTGAACGTTAAAGTCTTATGGATCAATAGGAAGGTCGTAAAGTAACATAAGTTCAGATATTAGACGTTTTAGATCGGTGTAACCATTTCATTAAACGTCTGAGCCAAACCTCTTCACACATGAAACAGTGAATTCTGTTTGCAGCTGAAACGGCTTGACTTAATGAGGATTACGTAACTGGGGGGTCTTGATGAGTTTTTCCTCAAAACAGCTGTCGCCACCCTCCTCCTAACTGATTAAAGAGCTCCACTTACAGCAAATCCAGACACATCCGGCTGATGGGAAGACAAGGAGTTCCTCATCCGTGCAGGAATCCTCCGGGTCAGGGGTCACGTTTCTATCCTGTTTGGTGAATTGACACATGGCGCTCCACGGATGTCTCCATCGTTGACGGGGCATGATTGGTTTTACAGTGCATAGATTTATTTTTCTTACCAGATGTTATCTAGCCCTGCCAGCACATCTGGTGACAGAGCGAGAGGCCAGAAAAGGCCCGTGCCTGGCATATGCCTGATATTCTGCACTGAATCATTTCTGAACGTTCGGTTTTTTTTTGTTTCTGTGAGGATTAAACTGCTGATGTGTTCAGACACACCTGGATTTCAAGTATAAATTAAACAGAGATAGGACTTAGACTGCAGCCTGAACAGGATCAGTTAGGCGCTAAGATGTGAGGTGGTGTTTGGTTGAGACTCGAACGCACCAGGGAGCAGACTGGCAGGAAGAGTTTTATCTGAACGATGGCAGGTTGGACGACACGACAGGAAGACGAGACGAAGATCTGGCACAGAAAAGCTCAACCAGATGTCCAAGGGCAGTCGGGGACACAGGTGGGTAGTCTAACGAGGGGGGACGAGACCACCAGAACCTGACATGAGATTTATGAATCTAAATGAATCTGTCTGTATTCTATCAATGGTTTGCAGATCCATGACTGTATATATTTCTTCTGCTCTGCTGCAGGTGAGAGATGCAGAAGTTTCATCGATTTAGCCCCCGCATCGGAGAAAGGTGACTTAACTGGTCTCATGAAACACCCCCGATCACTGGAGGTGATGGGATGTTTATGAAGTGGGCTTCAGCAGGCCTGGAGCCAGGCCTTGGAGACCTGCAGCTTCAGTATGAAGCCCAACAGTTCTGGCAGAAATCTCTTCACTTGACAGTTATGATTTAAAGGGCCAATACCGATTTCTAGAGGTGTGATGGTACACCTATAGTCCTGGTTTGGTACATGGATTGACTTTTCTTTAGAGTACCGTGCATACCGGTACTACTTCCAGGCAGTCTGTCAGTATCCCAAAGCTTTCTTTGGATTTAACCAAACCTGAAGAGCATTCACAGTGATGGGCAAATTTACAATTTAAAGAGGGTCTTTTATCCATCCCAGGGTTTGTTTCCCTCCAAAAATCAGTATTTTTCTGGAATTCCATATTGGACATTGATCTCAGGAAGGAAGGAAGGAAGGAAGGAAGGAAGGAAGGAAGGAAGGAAGGAAGGAAGGAAGGAAGGAAGGAAGGAAGGAAGGAAGGAAGGAAGGAAGGAAGGAAGGAAGGAAGGAAGGAAGGAAGGAAGGAAGGAAGGAAGGAAGGAAGGAAGGAAGGAAGGAAGGAAGGAAGGAAGGAAGGAAGGAAGGAAGGAAGGAAGGAAGGAAGGAAGGAAGGAAGGAAGGAAGGAAGGAAGGAAGGAAGGAAGGAAGGAAGGAAGGAAGGAAGGAAGGAAGGAAGGAAGGAAGGAAGGAAGGAAGGAAGGAAGGAAGGAAGGAAGGAAGGAAGGAAGGAAGGAAGGAAGGAAGGAAGGAAGGAAGGAAGGAAGGAAGGAAGGAAGGAAGGAAGGAAGGAAGGAAGGAAGGAAGGAAGGAAGGAAGGAAGGAAGGAAGGAAGGAAGGAAGGAAGGAAGGAAGGAAGGAAGGAAGGAAGGGAGGGGGGGAGGGGGGGAGGGAGGGAGGGGTGGGTGGGTGAATGAACGATACGTTCGATCGGCTCACACATTAGTGGCACAGAACCGGACTTTGGTTTCATGGGTTGGATATGCATTTTCCAGTCCGAGGAAACTCTTTTTTTCATACCTCCTCCCCAGCGGTCCAACTGGAACCGAGTAGACACTGATTGGCTGGCTGAAATTACGCGTACCGCCTCTGATTGGTGAGTAGAATGAGCCAGCGGGGGGGGGGGGGGGGGGGGGGGGGGGGGTTCCTGCTCACGCGATTTAAAATGAAAAATTTTAGTATTTTAAATTCCCAGACATCTTATGTTAAATCCATGGCACATATCAAACAGGATCAGAAAATAACTTTTATCCTCTCATAGACACCCGTTCACTTTTAGCAGTTGGGGACCCATGGTCCAGAGGTAGCTGGGCGTGTTTTAAGCTCTCCATTGAAACAGATTTCATTCTCAGCTGGCTGGGGGGTTGTCAGTTTTCCTCCTTTAAAAAAACAGGTAAAAAATAGGAGGAACTCCGTCACTGCTTACAATCCAAATTAGTGTGGTTGCCCATTCTGCAGCTAGCTAACGCAGCATCGTAGGCTTTTGTAATTCAACACCAGGAGGAAAAAAGCCTCCAGCATTGTTTAAAAGACTGAAGCCAATAAACAGGAGCGGAAGCCGCGGTCATGTGACGCAAGTCTGTTCCATTTAACCGTTTTCTTTGACCAAGGAAGGACCGTGTCCTCGTAAGCAAGGCGCCTTGGCATTGAGGAACACCCCCGTAACAGCAAGCTAACGACCACACTTCCTGTAACACTGGAGAAATATTACCGTAATAAGTGTAGTAAGTTCTCCCTACCATAAAACACCTGATACAACAATGTAGTAGCCTACTTATCAACCTACTGTGAATGACTCGTCATTGTTTGTCTACCAGAATCTTCTGGTGCTGATCCGAAAAATCCGAAACCGATTTTGTTGCTTAGGAAAATGGACTGTAGTTGAGGATGTCATTCTTACAAACTGCACCTTTTAATTAAAATGGAACTGGTGATCAAAATAGTTTTGCTTATATTCATCAATTTCAATGTAGTTTTATTCTAATCATCTGGAAATGAAAGCAAATTTAATCAACACATATGTTTTTATTTCCACTTTGTCCCCTTGGCGGCACTTTAATAAATAATCTACAGTCAGTTACGACAGACTCTGACGATGTTGGTCAGTAAATGAGGCAACAGAAGGAAGTATTAAAGCTTGTTTATATTCTACTGAATTTAACTGCAAAAGAAAAAAGAGGGACGTTTGACCTCACCGTTGACCCGGTTTTAGACAGTACCTCAAATTTTATTGTTCTGCACTAAGATGTTTCCCAGGGCATTTTTTAATAAAATGATAAGAATCAACATTTAGTTTCGGAAAATTGCCTCATGGTTTCTCAGTCTTTTTTGTGCTACACTGGAATAACAGCAACAGGAATTTAAAAAGTAGAAGAAGAAGAAGAAAGTATCATTTCTATAGCGCCTCTCAAGATAAAAATCACGAGGTGCTTCACAAAAACAAAAAATGTAAAAAATAATTTAGAAAATGATTACAAATATATTTAAAATGAGCAAAAAACAGACTATTGTGATTAAAAATGTAAAGAAAGAGAGAGAGTGAATAGGAAAGAGGGAAATCAGTGGATCCTGAGGAAGGTGGAATAGGTGGGGAGAGCAGAATAAAGAGAGAGTGGTGAAGAAGGTCATACAAAAGCCAGCTTGAACAAGTGAGTCTTCAGCTGCTTTTTGAAGGAGACCACTGAGTCCACTGATCTCAGGCTCAGGGGGAGAGAGGTCCAGAGTCTGGGCCACAGCAGCAGATGATCTGTCAAGTAGTTTTTAGGTGACATTAGCATTTTCTACTGCACAATGTTCTGGGTTTGATTCTGTTTCTCAGGGATGCTGTGGCTGTCTCTGGTTTCTGAGATGTTGTACATTCTCCTGCTGTTGGTGGGCTTCAGCCTCATGTGTATGGAGCTATTCCACTCGAGCAATGTCATCGATGGACTCAAGCTCAATGCCTTCGCTGCTGTCTTCACAGTGCTCTCAGGTTGTCTGAGTTCCTCTTTGCTTTTATTCTGGTTGTAATTCTGACAAGTATCAGCTTTTAGTCTGGTGGTTCAAGAATAAAACTCACATCTAGTAGATTTAAAAGAGAAGCAACAGGTTTTCTTTAGGAAGACATTTCACTTCTCATCTGGAAACATTTTTAACGCGGTGGCAACTCAGGGTGTCTATTTTCCTAAAAGGCATGCGCTGTTTCCGACCTGCTTTCCTACGTAAATGATGACACTGGAGAGACGCTCAGTGTTGATGATAAGCTGCCCTGGGGCAAACTGACAGAAGCACGGCTGCTGAACGCTGGCACCAATGGTCCCTCGGCCACCATCTCAGGGAAGCCGATAGCGTGTCTTGTCCAACAACACGACTGCGACATGCTAAGCAAGGCTCAAACTTGCAGCTCTTCATTATTGGAGCAGGAAGTTAACTTTTTGTCCACTAACTACTAGTGGTGTGCATCTCTACCTGCCTCACGATTCGATCCGATTCCGATTATCTGCCTAAAGATTCGATTTGAGTCTGAAATGCATCACGATTCTTCTCACAAAAAATTTCATTACTTAATAAAAGCAGTAGAATAGTTTTCAATTTCTTTTTTGTTTCAAAATCCCTGAAAAACAACATGCATCTATTCACTTTAGTGAGCAATAATGTTTAAGTGTGCTGCCTATAATAACTTAAATAATATAAGAAATAATGTTTTCAGTAGAGCAGCTTTAAGATAGAATACTACTGAACTTAAAAATAGTAAACAAATACTGTGTTAAGTGATTCTTTCACATCCAGGATCCCAAAACCAAAATTAGTCCAGACATCCGATTTAAATGTAACGGGTACATCTTTGATTACTGGTAATGTTCGCCCTGTCTGCCATTTCTGTTTTAAATTGGCGCTAGGGCAACGCAGTGCGCATGTCGTTGCAACTCTGCCCCCAGAAGTAATTGTAAAACCTCAAAACTTTATTGTCCTCGCATAGACGTAGGGAGAAAATCTCACTATTTCACGTTGCTGCATCGATAAGGAATCATGCACGGCTGAATCGCGATGCATCTTAGAATCGATCATTTTTCCCACCTCTACTAACTACTGCTAACGCTAGTCCAAGGTACTGCTAATGCTAGCCCAAGCAGCTAACATCCTTGTTGGACAAGAAGAAAACAACAAAGAAGAATTTTGGAGCACCACTCACATTCCAGGATGTACCGGGAACATCCAGACTGTGAACGAAGGCCAGATGAATGCACAGCCCGCGGTCCTTGTCCTCTTCCTCATTTGTCCACCTTAAATTGTTAGAGCTTCATTCTAATTTACCCCCCTGCTCCACTGCCCACCCCACCTTGTTTTGATCCCATTCCTGAATGATTAACCGTCGGCGAGCATTAAAAACCTCTGTGAATATCAGGAGAGCCGTTTGTTAACTAGCTCCCTCTGAAGCTGCACCTTTCTGTCTGACTCAGTGAAGCTTCCTGGTAAAGAAGCCAAACGTCGTCTAGAAAATAAAGAAACGCAGACGTCTTTTTCTGGACCTTCTAGCATCGCCAAGGCCTCAATAACTAACAACCTTTACCAGCTAAACATAGTAGCAACAAGAGTTTGCAGCGTATGAACAAAGCTGCGTTTCAACAAAGTTATGTACATCTTGTCGTGATTTTGGGTAAAATACAGAATTTATGAATTGTATGATTTGATGTATTTGTCCTTGCTAACTCTGTTCTGCGACCTTTCTCATGACCTCAGGTCTCCTCGGGATGGTGGCTCATGTGATGTACACTCAGGTCTTCCAGGTCACCGTCAGCCACGGCCCAGCTGACTGGAGGCCCTACAACTGGGACTACGGCTGGTCTTTCTGGTAGGTCAGCAGATGTCGAGTATCTGGGTGACCAAACCTAAACGGGCCCATTAGGAACGTCGATGAGAACTTCCGCTCTGCTCTCTCCTTACCTTTCTGCAGCATCGCTGTGGGCAATGAAAGAGGCCAAAAGCACTCATGTTGTGGCGGGATTAGGCTTTGGTGTCCAAATCCTTATTTCAGGCGTGATTGGAATTGCATAAGGGGATAATATTCTACTTCTATATGCAGAAATTCCTTCTAGAGGATAAACAATTGTTGGAATTAACCGAGTGTGTAAAATATACATGTGAATTTTGGATGCTCTGCAATCTGTTCAACCGACCAAACAAAATTTGAAAGGCTTGGCAGTAAAAGCACATAGAGCGTCATCTTGTAAGATTATTTGTTTGTTTGTTTGTTTGTTTGCATTTCTCACAGCAGTTTTTCCACCTTTGATAATATGTATTTTTTTCTGTTTTCTACCAGCTTGGCATGGGCATCTTTCACCTGCTGTATGGGCGCGTCGGTCACCACCCTCAACTCCTACACAAAAACTGTCATCGAGTTCAGACATAAACGCAAAACCTTCGAGCAAACCATCCGGAGCGAAAACGCTCGGGAGGCTTACGGATACTACCGGGATCGCTCGTTGCACTCTATCTCTAAATCGGTGGATGTTTACTCCAGCCAGTCCCTGAAAAGTGGCAGGAAGACCCCCACACCTGCTGACTCCTTGGACCTGAGCGACTATGCAGCATCTCTGGGGGAAGAACAGTGCTGAGAGGGGAGGAACAGTCGGCTCATGTGAGACTCGGTGGGATTCGAGGTCACGCTCTCAGCTCCACGTGAAGCTTTTCAACACTGCCTTAAACAAAGCGGGCTACTCTAGTGGAGCCTGAAGTCGAGGAAACCAGCTCAGAGCTGGAATCACTGTGTGAAATTCATGAACCAGTGTGTAATCTGTTTGTGTAAATTATTGCAATATTAAATGAAAGGCAAAAGTTGAGTATATTCATATAGTGTGTGACAGCCGTATCAAACTGCTACCTGGGATTTCCTTCTTTTGAAATCAACCAATGATGACCTAAATTCTCACATTTTCAGCACTTTGTGCATTTAAGTTCAGCTGTCAATGAACAAAAAGGAAAATTAGTCTTTTCCTTCTGTCTATTATGCATCATTAGTGAAAATTAGCCGGTTTAGACTGTTGCAAATTTCCATCAAACTGTTTTTGGACTTAAAGGTACAAAATGTAAGAATTCTACAGCAATAATCTCAAAACTGTTGAGTGTCTCAGTCATGTTGGGAGGAAGGTTACAGTCGCCTCTTTTATAAAACCATGCAAAGCTGAGGCGGCTTCAGGGAGTCTTTGGTCGTTCGTAAGTGGTCAGACTGGCGGTGATGTGACGCGATCATGTGCTTTTTACAACGGCGGACTGGTATAAAGGGGGAATGGGTCAGTCTCAACGACGCCACAGACTTCTTTTAACTTGGACATAACTTGTTTTTTATTGCAATTGAAGCCATGCTCGTGTTTCACAAGCTACTCCTAAAGGTGTCTGGCCTCCAAGGTCCCCATGAACTGTCTGGTGATCTGACCTTCAGCTTTAACGGAGCTCTGCATCGCTCCAGTTTACCGTCTCAGCTGGTTCTGTTTGCAAAAGCGAAACTTATACCCCTTTGACTTTCATTTTAAATATAGTTGCCAGCTGGATCATGACTCCTCCCTCTGTTACACCAAGGTGTAATCTTCACAAGTAATACTACTACCAAGCTTGGTGGCATGAAAAACACAAAATTCCCGCACCGCCATGCCCCAATGGTGCTTTCATAGGACACCATGGCAGCAGTATTTCTCTGACTTACCAGCATGGCGTGTTTTACAAAAGTGGCTTTTGAAACTCAGCCAGCTGGGGGTTGTCATTTTTCTCCATTCCGTTTGTGATTCAACAGCAGCAGAGAAAAGGCTCCAGAGTTGTTAAACGTAACAAAGCCAGTAAACAGGAGTGACCAAGAAGTTATTTTTTTGTTCCCCTAAGAAGCCACCTCATCATTTTGCTTTACTCTAATATCAGGTCAAGCAGGCTAGAGGCTAATGTTGAGCTAACGGTGAATTAGAAGCAAATAGTCAGCTCTAAAAATATCTCAAGCTACTTTTTCAATGAACAACTGGATGTTACAGTAATGAACCTAATCGGTTAGTTAGATTACAGGCTTGTCTTGAAGACATAAAAAATTGGATGACTCTAAACTTTTTGCTTTTACATCCAGACAAGACTAAAGTTCTCATCTTTGGGCCCGAAATTCAGAAAAGGAAACTGCTTAGTCAATCACCTGACCTGAATGGCATTAAATTAGTCTCCGAGAACAAAGTAAGGTATTATCTTTGACCAGGACATGTCATTCAAATCCCAGCTTAAACAGGTTTGTGGATTTCCTTTTTCCACCTTCGGAATATTGCTAAGATTAGAACAATCCTTTCCAGGAGTGATGCTGAAAAACTAGTTCATGCATTTATTACATCAAATGGTAAATGGCCTGTATTTGACATAGTGCCTTCTAGAGTCCTGGAACCCCTCAAGGCGCTTAACAACAAAATCAGTCATTCACCCATTCACACACACATTCACAAACTGGTGGGGATGAGCTACAATGTAGCCACAGCTGCCCTGGGGCGCATTGACAAGAGGCGAGGCTGCCGAGCACTGGTGCCACCGGTCCCTCCGACCACCACCAGCAGGCAACGTGGGTTAAGTGTCTTGCCCAAGGACACAACGATAGTGACAGACTGAGCGGGGCTCGAACCTGCAACCTTCCAATTATGGGGCGAGCACTTAACTCCTGTGCCATCCGTCAAGACTGGATTACTGTAATTCATTACTCTCAGGAAGTCCACAGAACGTAGTTAAAAGTCTTCAGCTTGTCCAAAATGCTGCAGCTAGAGTTCTGATGAGAATTAAAAAGAGAGATCATATCTCTCCTGTCTTAGCTTCCCTACATTGGCTGCCTGCTAAATTCAGAATAGATTTTAAGATCCTCCTTCTCACATATAATGCTCTTAATAATCAAGCTCCATCATACATCAGTGACCTGATTGTTCCATACATTCCTAACCAAGCACTTCGCTCTCAGACTGCAGGTTTACTGGTGGTTCCCAGAATATCTAAAATTAGGATGGGAGGAAGATCTTTTAGTTGACAGGCTCCTCTCTTGTGGAGCCAGCTCCCAGTCTTAGTCCGTGAGGCAGACACCTTGTCTACTTTTAAGACTGGGCTTAAAACTTTCTTATTTGATAGGGCCTATGGTTAGAAAAATGGACTGCAGTAATCAAATCTGACCACAGGTTTCCTGGCGATATGTGAAGAGACCAGCCAGCACCATGTTGTACAGGTTAAGACTATTTCTACTAATAAGCTAATTTTACAACAGTATTTACCACTGGAACATCTTCTGGGCTCAGAAGCAGCTGCTTGAATTGCCAAGTTTGCCATTCTCTACAGTGCCAGCCTTGCTGTTTATTGTATTTGGCAACCTGCAATGGTGCCCTCTATTGGCTGGTAGATGTAAACATGAACCCAGTGTTGCCCGTCAAAATAAATATTTCTCTTTTTTTTTATTAAAATACAGCTTTTAAAGGAAATACTTCATTATGAAAACCTCTAAACGCTCCGTGGCGGTACTGATTAAAAATAGCTTTTGATTTAACTGTTCCATATTCAACCTTTAACAATATTAAGAAAGTGTTATTTTTTAATGATGGAGGTAAAATTTATTAAAAATAGTTTTTTTTTAATAATTTCCCTCAACAGACACATCTACTAACAATTTCATTCACTATAATGAGAGAAAATCTTTTCTACAAATGCTTTTTCGAAGCAAATTTTATCTAGAAATGCACTATAATAACAATCCCTTCTTCTGCTTCTTCTTCTATAAATAACTACAGGAAAAAGTCACTAGAATGTTAAAATCAAAGCTTGACAGAAGAAAATGCTGTAAATGAAACTCACTGTGGTTGGAAGTCTGTGGAAAGCAACAAACATTTTCTGTTATTAACAAAAGTTTTGTTTTCATTACTGTCTAATGTTTTACCTATTTCTACATTTTACAAAGATGATATAATAGCTGCCTCCATGTTTAGTCCCACACTTTTGTCCTGTTGCTGAACATCTTTGGACAAACAGTGTTTCAGAGGACTGCTGTGCAAAACAGGCCAACCATAACTACTTGTGTTAACCGCATTTCAAATGGCACAACATCAAGTCTAGAGTAAAGCGCTTTGGAGTCCTCTGGCTCTGAAAGGCACCATACAAGGGCGGGTCATTTAGCATGTTCATTTTTACACCAACTTAACATAAAACATAATACTTTTGTGAAAGAAACCTAAAGAAGTGAGCCCGCTCTCTCTCGTTGCTTCATTTCTGTCTTCTGTTTAACTCAGTAGCCATCATCGTATTCGTTCTGGGCCTGTTGCCGTGCCAACATGGCCTGGATGAGAGCGCTGGAACTAGGGGAGGCTGAGTTTTGCACCGGAGCAGGAGCCCACTGAATCCTCTCCTCTTCCTCTGCTCTCTGTCTTGCTTGCATGACTTGAATGACAACACTTGACGCTGGCGACGACGGGTTAGATGAGCCGTCCTGTCCCTCCTCCTCTCTCAGTCTGGCGTGCGTGACCGGAGGTCTGTTAGGTGAGTTTATGTCATCAGCGTCAGTGACCGTCCAGTATTCGTCCTGAGCCTTCTGCCTGGCCGCCATGGCCTGCTCAAGAGGGCTGGGTGATGAAGAGTGCTCCTCAGGCGTCTGCCTCTCAGCTCTGTGGCGAGCCACCATGGCCTGCATCAGGGCACCGGAGGTGGAGATGTCAGAGGGAACAGACACGCCACTAGCGCTGCGTCTGTCCTCTTCCTCAAGCTGCTGGCGGGCGAGTAAAACCTGAACCACGGCGTTGGAGTTGGACTGACTTCCAGAGGAGCGATCATCTGAACGCCGCCCTGAGTGCTGAAGAGGAAATGAATGTCGTGAGTAAAGAACCAGTGGATTTAGTGGATTTGTTGCTTTTCAACGCGTACCACTTTTATTTTCTTCTGGCTGGGAGCAACAGCAGGCTGAGACTTCTGGAGGTTTTGAAGCTTCTCCAGCAAAAAGGACTTGTCTTTCCCCTCCTGGTGGAAATGCAAACAGATTCACTCAAAACGAACTGTGATGTGGACAAAGTGTCAAATCTGTGTGGATTAGAATAAACTCACGTTAATAATCCGCTGTCTGAGAAGATTAATGAGCTCCTTGCGGCCCTGAGTGAGCTGCCAGAAGATGTAGATGATGGCTCTGGAGAGAAAGAAGTCATGACACGAGACAACGACTCAGGTGTGCAGCAGAAACCATGGTGTGGACAATTATTTGTTTGTTTGTTTGTTTGTTTGCCTGCTGATGGTGGTCGGTGGGACCGGTGGCGCCTGTGTATGACAGAGCGCCCCAGGGCTACAATGTAGCTCATCACCACCAGGTTGTGAATGGATGAATGACTTATTGTGTTGTAAAGTGCCTTGGGGGGTTCCAGGACTCTAGAAGGTGCTATATGAAATACAGGCCATTTTTTTTAATATATTTATTTGTTTGTTTATTTATTTATTTATTTATGGAATTAAGAGATAGAATAACTGAAAATCAGACAAAAGAATGAATAAAAATCATCTGTCTGTCCGTGTGTTTGTGCAGGACTAATGAAGTCTTGGGACAGAGGCCCAGCCCCGCCCATCACACACCCACCCCCTTCCCAAAGCTAATCCCCCAGGTCCCTGTTGTTGAACAGGAGGTTGGGAATGTGACTGCAGAGGCAGCTTCATGAATGAGGAAGGATTTGTTAGCACTCTAAATGTTCTCACATGATGATGAGCGTGAGAAGAAAGTAGAAGAGCTCGCTCCTGATGACGTTCTGGTAGATCCACACTACCCAGTCAGAAGTAGGAATGGCTTCCAGGTCGTGTATCCAGATGCTGACCACACTGAAAGTGTTGTTGAGTCCCTGGAAAGGCCCACACTGCTCTGATGGAGTCAGACTGAGGTGGAAAAACAAGCCAAACATGTCAAACTAGGACAGAAACCAAGCTGTTAAAAATCCCAAAGCCGTCCACTCTGACCTTACCTCCACGCAGTGTACGCAACGATCGACAGAGCTCCCACAAAGAAAGGGAAGAAGAGGAGAAAGATGAAGATGGTTTGCATCTGAGCCGCTCTTCCTGACCGCCGAGGAGGCTGACAGTTCCGGGTCAGGCTGACCTGAGGCAAGGCAAAAGTAAACACATGGGAAAGCCTATCCACACTCGTGCAAACGTCATTTTTCACTCCGTTATAGCCAAAAGCTGTTCATTCTGACAAGAGATTTCAGACCACAATAGAGAACGTCACAGGGTTGTGGCTGTAAAGGTCACTCGGCAGAACCGAATCCAAAGTGGATCCAATTACATCATCTCCTTTCCCCACACCGACAGACCTCGTGCAAATAAATGCCTCATAAGTCTGAAGCCCCAGCCAGCTGCCTTTTCTTGAGCTTTGTAGTGAAAGGATTTTAATGACTTATTGGCTAAAGGGAACAGTTAGCGTAACCTGAGCCCCAGAGTCTCTGGAGCAGCTCTGGCGTGGTATCGGCCGGTTTTACAGAGACGAATTATGTCTTTTTCTCTTAAGTTGTAAAAGTTTTGTGTTCATGTTCAAGACGGCCTTTGGCAATACTCAGTAGTTGTTAAATACCTGTGCAATACTAGACTTACATAGTATCTCTGTGTTCCTCAGTTTGCTGCATAGTTCTGGAAATTTTTCACTTTTTATTTGTGTTTTTTTTTTTAGAGGTCGAAGGTAACGATACTAGCTTACTGCCTACGTGTGTACTTGTACCGTTGTTATTATTTTTTCTTCAAATTATTCTCTTAAGTGTTGGTACTGCTGTAACAATTGAAATTCCCCTCTGTGGGATCAATAAAGTTGATTCTATTCTATTTGTACTGAATCCCTCTCATGAAGTGATTTCAGCTGTTTTATTCTTGTCAGTTTCAGTGCCTTCCAGAATGAGCCGTTTCAGGGCTTTGTCACTTTAGGAAAACAAACTGGATCTGGCCACGCCTATCTATCCCCTAGCCAAGAAGCACCAGGATCCAGGAGGGGCTTGGAGTAGAGCCGCTGCTCCTCCTGCACATTAGAGGTGGCTCTGTTCTAATTTCCTCTTATGTGACATCACAAATGGTAAATGGTCTGTATTTGTAGAGTGCCTACTTAGGGTTCTACAACCCCCCAAGGTGCTTTACAATACAGTCATTCACACGCTGGTGGTGTTGAGCTACAATGTAGCCACAGCTACCCTGGGGCGCGCTGACAGAAGCACCACTGACCCTCCCGACCACCACCAGCAGGAATGTGGGTTTAGTGTCTTGCCACAAGGACACAACAGCAGCATTCTCTGGTCGAAGCCGGGATCGAACCTGCAACCTTCATGTTTGGCGTGTTTATAGAGGCAGTAGAGCCACACGTGGCAGAGCACAAAAGGATGTAGGGTGTCCTACAGGGGAGGTCAAGACTTCTGACCAATAAAACAAGGTTTACCTTTTTAATGTAAAACAGGATGAAGAATTTTAGCATCTGGATGGCAGGGAGCAGAGGAGAAAAGTAGATCCCAATCCTACCAACACAGAAACGGTCAGTTTTAAATTGGCAGAAAAGACACTTTAAAAGCCTAAACAAAGACCGAGCGTTTACCAGGCCAGCGTTTGGGCGTAGACGAGTTCGAGGACATTCCTGGCAACGTCGAACTCCGGCACACCGAGCCGAGGTTGTAGTTTGGTTCCAATCACGCTGTTTTCAAATAAAAACAGTCTGATTAACATCTGAAGTCAACTTTTGATGTTTCGGTTTCAACTGGAACAGATGGACTCACTTGCTGAGAAACTCTCCGAAGAAGGACCCCAACATGAGAAAAAGGAAATCGATGATGACCAGTCGGTATAAGGCCTGTCCCACCATGGGCTCCCAACACTGAGACGGGAAAACAGTTAGGGATGAAGTCCTATTAAAACAGGTAATAAGGGTTGGTCTGAGTAAATAAATAAGAAACTACCGAATACTTCTGAGGCACCACGTTCATCCAATGGTAACACAAAACACCAAGAATGGACATCCTGAGCAGCACGTTCCTGTTGTAATAATAGAAGAGGACATTCAGGAATATTGACAGAGGTAGCTCAGATGTATCTAGACATCTTCTGAGGCGATGCGGTTGTTTAAGTATTTTTAGCTGAATGGTGGCAAAGAGCCTCAAGCCCGTCAGCTGGAGCCCTGATATCTCACCTGATGAGTAAGGCATAAATCTGCCTGCGGTGGGTGGAGTACCGCTCGAACTTGTTGAAGAGGGAGAAGAAGAGCGGGATGACCATGTTCATCAAGGACACTACAAAGGGAACGAGGAGAGTTTCTGCTTCCTGGAGCAGAGACCATGGTGCCGTGTCCATCGCCTGCTGTAAAGATAACAGCAAACCCAGATTACAGCTCTCAGTGGCAAACATCTACACCTGAGTGCTGCTGCTTCCTGTAGGTTCACGACACGGCCTGATGAAACCAAATACTATAACATGCCATAAAGTATTATGTACATACTGGCAAATGAGCCACAGCTGTGCAAATACAGGAGCTAAATGGCTTTTTGCTAACTCAACAGACAACAAGACTGCATGGTGGGACTCTTGCAAGAAGGTTGCCTGTTCAAGTCCCACCTGTAACCTTCCTGCGCAGAGTTAGCATGTTCTCCCCGTGCATGTGTGGTTTTCTCCAGGTACTCCATCTTGCTCCCACAAACCAATAACA